GGTTTCCCCCCCCCCCCCCCAAGATCTGATTTGCAGGACCTCAGAATATTTGTGTGCTTTCAACAGTTTCTTGCTGTTTGACTGTCATGAGTTGAAAAGCTACCAAAAAAAAAAAAAAACCCCAAACCCCACCAACAGAATTTTACCAGTAGTACGAGGCAGTATGTTCAGCGGCAGAAAGGCTTATAAAGGAGAGAACTTTCCTTCTGGAGTGCGGGGGAGAGGGGAGAAATACAACAGAAAATTGAGAAAAGGGAGATGTAGAAGATTAAAAACAAGATGCCAGCAAGAAAATACACACTAGGAAAAAAAGGATATCAAGTTCTGGTTTTAAAATTTCTATTTCCGTTTCGACTTTGGCACTTTTTCCCTAGGCTTAGTTGTATGCACCGGGGGGGGGGGTTCCCTTTGCAGCAGCTTTCCAAGACCATTAGAGACCAAAACTCAAAACTTCAAGCCCATCAACCGCAACAGGAACGCTGCAGTTAATAAATTTTAGCTAATCCTTCAAAACAGACCGCTGCGGGTTTTAAGAACCGGTCATCCGCAGGAGTCAAACCTTGACTATCGAACTCGACACGCCACGGCCACGGGTGACCGGTGGGACTGGGTCGCTGTGGGGCACGGGGGGGCCGGCCCGGCCGCCCACAAACGCAGCAGCAGCGAAGCCTAACCTTTCGCCTTCTATTTCTGGGGCTTGCGAGCGTCATGCCTAAATTTAGAGTTTAACCCACCGCCGACGTTGCCTCAGTCACCGTGAGGAGCTACAAAACCGAAAGCGTTTCCGAAACCCACTTCACGGACGAACTCCCAGAGACCGCTGCCCTCCCCCCCGGGGGGCAGGTTGACCCCCGGGCTGTGAAAAGCAGAGATGCTTCCCTCCCTCAGACGGATTTTTTTTGGGGGGGTCCCTCTTCAAGCTCCCCGCCTCACCCCACCCGCGTCCCCGCGTCCCGCAGGGCTGTTACCCACCGCCTCCCCCCCCCAGTCCCACTCACTTGTCCAACCAAAAGGTCCAGGGCGAGTGGAGCGGTAGCCCAGCCGGCTCCGTCGCTTGCCCGCCCCGTCGCCGCC